GTTGTTAGTTTACTCTTACAAAGGGAACTTAGTTCTGAACCCTTTTTATTAGTGGCTGAAGAGGTTAATAAACACTTTGTTTACATATCTCTTTCACATTGCTTATCTTGACGTTTTAGGACTCACTTACATTGTCTTTAAATCTATGTAATACAGAACTCAGCTGATCTACGCAAGGATGGCTCTCAGTAAAAACTGATTGGACCACGTTTCCTGAGGCAAAAAGTATATCTCGGATCATGAGTATTAGTCACACAGAGGTAAGAAATCTCAGCGAAGGTGCTTTTTAAAAAAAAAAAAAAAACCAAAAAGATATTGAATTTAGTCTTTGCATCTGTTGAACAAGATTTTTTTTTGGTTTAGACAGGTTTATAAGATTCATCAGTACGTTTTAATCGTATCTCGAGAAAGTCTAACTCCGTCTAATACGTATTCTACTTTGCGGGTAGTTGCCAAGTCTATATTTTTTTCTCTTAACTGCTATGTTTGTTGTGTCTTTGTGGCAGAGATTGGAGCAGAAGTAACCGATGACATGTCTACAAATTTCTCAGGTCACAGGGATTTGTGTTGTCTATCGGAACTGCTCACCAGTACACCAAATCTGATGCTCATAAGGTCACTCTCTTTCTTCATCAGCAGAATAGTTTTGGGTATGCTGTAGATTTTTGTGTTGTTTTGAATTTTTGATCGATATTAGTTTACAATTTGTTATCAGTTCGAGATTGTGCAGATTTTTCTGTAAGTTTCTTAGAACTATGCCCTTATCATAATCCATGGGGTGGATCTCATCTCAGGTATCATTCCCTGGTCTCCACTAGATGAAATCTGACGCGTTACGGAAGGAATTAGAGGACACAGCCAAGTGGTGGATCTGATGAGAGATGTTTCGTATAGCCATTGACCGAGCAGGTGGGATATGAACCAGTAACTGGAATGTTTGCATTATCCCTACATTTTCATTGAATGACGATTAGAAGTTAGCTCCTTTTCTTTTTCTTCTACAGTTAAGTTTATAGTTTGTCTATACGTACAAGATTCAATCACCTATTGAGGGATACACCTAGATTCTACCACAGAGTTTTCAACAGCCACGTCTACTCTTCTGATATGAATCAAGAGAGGTTGAGGGAGACAGCATAACCATAAACAAGTTCTGGAGGCAGAGGCAGATCATTGAAGAGGAGCATCTCTTTGCTGCTATTGAGGCAGCAGTTCAGAGCCCGTAATCTCTCTCTCTCTCTAGCCTTTTGGTTTTGACAATTCTTGTGAATGTTTTTATATCACTGAAGAGGAAAACCAATACTTTTGGGGTTTTTTAATCTTCTGCTATAACTTGGAAGAGACTCTTTAGATCAAACTCATTATGCAAGTCGATATCAATATCTATTGATGTCTATTGAAGATTCAAACTCTGTACAGATACAATGATATGAATTCAATTTAATATCAAGTCTCTGATGCTTTGTTTTCGTAAAATAACAATTAACTGAATTAGACTAAGCTAATATATTCTTTGAAAGTCTATGAGAACATTGAGAACTATGCAAAAGCATAGTTTTTTTTTTGTTTCGTGATAAAGTTAAGATATGGACTAAAATATTTTCACGAACAAATTAAGTAAGAGTAAATTTAATATATTATTTCAGTTCCTATTTAAATTTTACAATTTTGACAAACAACTCAAAAATATAGTTCTCTAAAGTCCTAATAAAAAAAATATTTAAAGATGCAATAATAAACATATCAATTCGATAATTTTGCAACTTATAAACAAAACAATAACCCAACATATTTTGAAACATTTGCTAACCTAGCAATTTCTTTTCATGAGAATTTAACTAAACAAGATGGAAAAAAAGACAATTAGATTTACAAATATGTAATTACTATTATATTGATTTTTCTGACTCATATATATGTTGGATATTAATACACAACAAATTTAGAATTAAATTAATTTCAAATTGTAATAATGTATCTTTCTGAAGTTACAAAAAAATGTATCTTTCTGTTACACTAGCATGGTATAGATTATATGAACAACTTTGTTTTCCGCGATTCATTGAAAACTTTTTAAGTGATCCGCTGAGCAAATTAATTAAACCAATCAATCAAATTGTTAAAAATATATATGTCATCTATATTAGAGCTGCGAATAAAATCCGGCCCATCTCCGATTCAAAATACTAGAACTTAAATCAGTTTGGATCTATAAAAGTATTGAACGAATAGTAAGTTGGAAGAGATTAGATAACTGAATTCGATTTGACAATGATTGATATGTAACATTAATCCAAATATATCCGAAATTCTATAAGATGTCACCCTTGAATATATTTATTTCCTCAATTTCAAATATATGTGTCTTTTGCTGATATATTAAGTGTTTTGGTAATTTGAAATTAAATTTATTTTGGATGTTTGTCTTAGCTCGAGCACAAATATGTTAATCCAATACGAATATAAGCTGATGGNTTGATATGTAACATTAATCCAAATATATCCGAAATTCTATAAGATGTCACCCTTGAATATATTTATTTCCTCAATTTCAAATATATGTGTCTTTTGCTGATATATTAAGTGTTTTGGTAATTTGAAATTAAATTTATTTTGGATGTTTGTCTTAGCTCGAGCACAAATATGTTAATCCAATACGAATATAAGCTGATGGAAAAATAACATATCAATATATTATAGATTTTGAATATTTAAGACATAATTTGGATACATCTAATAATATCTGAATCTAAATCGAACCCAATATAAATACAAAAATACATAAAGGGATTATAATTCATTAAATTGAAAAACCCACAAATTCTTAATATTTATCTTAAAATGAACGGGTATACGAACACCAACCCTAATATTATTAGAAGATTTAAAACTACGAACAAAATACAAAATTTAATATTATAATTTATTTTTAAATTCAATCATTTAAAAACTGTATTTTCATTAACAAAAAAATAATAAATAAATAAATATTATTTGATAGGAATTCACTTGACACACACACACACACACACACACATATATATATATATATATATATATATATATATTTATATATATATATATATATGTGTATATCAGCTCTTTGAAAGAAATAGAAAGCTTACTTAGGAAAAATAAAAAATCTTAAATACAAAAACCTTTGAAAAGTAACAAAAAAACTAATAAAATTAATCTATGATATTAAAATATCACTTGAAATCTTCTTAGACAATATTAATAAAAATATTTAAACGAAAGAAAATAATTCCAATTAATAATAGTTTCTTTGTATTACTAAATTAAAAACAAGTTTGATTAGAAAGTAAGTAGTTTTAATATTCTCTTATATTATATTATAAATATATAATTATTTACTGATCATAAAAAAAATATATTTATTCATCTTTCACAAATATCCATGCCCATATGTGATTCAAGTAGAACAATTACAACATAATGATATCCAGGAAATGACATGTAAATTTTCAAACTATATTTATGTCATGTAGTCTTATTTTTTATATTCTTTAAATAGTGTAAATTAGTATTGTGTTAACTTTTGGTTTCAAATAGTATAAGTGTCTTCTACAATAACATAAATTTTATTAATCGTGTTAACTTCTGGTTTCAAATAATATCAATGTCTTTTACAATAACATAATTTTTGTGCTACAATAGAACAAAAAATGAAACTAAAGTTCTTCA